AATCCAGTTTGGTGAACACTGGGCGTCCAAAAAAGTCCCTCTCACATATTATGCTTCCACAACAGAGGGGCTTAAAACCAATACCGAGCCTAACAAGTCAAGTCTTCACCCCAGGTTTATTCCCGGCATGAGCTGAGTATCACCAAAACAAATAAAACAGGGGGAGGCTGTTTTTAGAACTACAGATGCAGCTTATTTTCCCCACAGTATGTGGGTTTACCTAAACTTGCAACCGATTACAAGACTGTTTACCAAAGATTCCTCGGGGTGTTCTCTTCCCAGAGGAGCTGCCCTGCCCGGCAGCCCAAGGAAGTTCAGGAGCTGCTCCCCGTCTGCTGCCGCTGCTCGGCCCTTGCGCGGCGACCGCCGCGACCACACACGTGCGGCCGGGACGGCACCGGGGAACGCCGCCCGTGGCAGCCGAGCAGAGACACTTGTGATGCACACCGGTCACAGCTGCGTGCACAGAGACACCCTGAGATGCCCTCAGAGCCACCTCCTGCCACGGCCCAGCACCTTCGAGGTCTGTTCCGACCCGAGCGCTTCTCTGATCCCACGAAACCTCACAGCAGGCAAGCAGCACAAACACGAACCACACAGGCTCTGCTCATTCTATCTTAGGGTGGCAAGATGTGCATTTATTGTGATAAGCTGAGGAAAAAGGCCCTTGAGGGATTTCAATGCAAGATAGATTTTTTTTCATGCAATCTCCGTCTCTCCATGTGTTACTTCCCTGGGATTCACACTTGAGCAGGATGAAGCGGCTTCGCCGGCCCTCCCAAAGCCCTGAGTCGTTGAGCAGGGACGAGAGCTGGTGGTTACACACTGCTTGTTTCCAGCTGCTCTTCCCCAGAGCTGTTCTCCCCTGGAATGCCATAGGAAGCTCTTGCCACTGGCTGTATATCCCCAGCAGCACCAGCAACTCCACCAGTGCCTTACTGGGTTATGAGGGAAAAGAGGAGATTAATTGTGAGCAAATGTTCACTCCCCTGACCACAGGCCACTTTCCTCTTCACTTCCTGGTGGGTGGGGAGAAGACTTAAACCCTTTCCCAAGCAAGAAAACAATACAAGAAAAACATGAACCCCCCACATCTTAAACTGTGTGAATGAAAACGTAAACTAAAATTTCCTCTCCTCTCTAAAACCAGCCCTAAAGAGCAGCAAGTCTGTGTAACATGGCACCCTGACTCTGGAGATCATCCCTGCTCCTTGCCTTGTCTGCAGCCGCAGCAGGAGGCGAGGAAGGAAAACCACCCACACAGCCATCAAAACAAGGGAGGGGAGAGAGCCCGGAGACGTGGAAACATCACAAAGATCACCAAGATGAAGTGCCTGGCTCTGAGGAGTGTCTGGACACCAGAGGTTTGATGTGGCATTTCCCACAGCCCACAGCACTGGCAGTGGCACAGGGGAGAGCTCAGCCCACCATCTGCAGTGCTGGCACTTTGCTTCCAGCCTCCAGTTTCACCATCCACACTCCTGGAGCTTGCAAGGGGACGGGGGATGAACGAACACAATTCTCTAGCACAAAGTCCGTAGTCAAGACCCGGTGCAGTTGTTGGCAACAAATGCACACTCGTAAAACTGAGAAGAATTCAAACAGCTGGCTCCCTTCCACGGGAGATCAATAAACCTGGCAGTCCAGCTGCCTCCAGGAAGAAAGGGATTCTGGTGCTGCAGGAAAGCTGGGCAATGTCTTACCCAAAAACCAACAAAATACCGAAATCCTATGGAGAAAATCACAGGCTGGACTTGTGCCATTCAGCTTCTTCCCTCCTTGTATCCCTTTCTTCCCAAAGCAAGACTCTAATGACTCTTAGGCCTCTCCTCCTTTTGCCTCTTGAAGGATTTGAATAGCCTAGACAGTCCCTGCTCCTGCAACACTTGTGGCATTTGCTTCTGTCATTTCTGTCCAGAGCCTCCAACACTGCCTAAGGAACAGTGTTCACTTCCACTGTAGGTCCCCCAGGAAGACGCCTGGGCAGGAGCTCCACGTGCATATTCCCACACTGGGTGTCCCTCCCCTCATCTTCAGTGCCCAGGTGCCACTGCCCAGCCCACAACTCACCAGTGCAACACCCACACTGAGAAAGATTAAAGAGAAGGGGCAACTTCCCATGTAAGACTTCCAAACAGCAGGAAACTGGTGCTGTAAGCATCATACTGTGGGCTGAAACTCCAGTGGAAGGCCAGACAACACACACTTCACCAGAAATCCCTTGAAACACACTCATAAAATGCCTTTGCTTAGACATGAGCTTCACACAGTATTTTTTCCTCAGTGATACACCCTACTGAACATAAACATTATGGAGAACAGTTCCTTGGGGCAACATTTTATATACTGTGGCAGATTATGCCACATAACAAAGCAGGACTTTGCCAATAACAGACCACAAAATTTGGGCACCTTCCAAGACTCGCAGCCCCAGGCTGTGAGGTGTGAAGCAGTCCCAACCCTCTTCCCTTCAGTGGGAGACGATGGTTTCCAGTCTCACAAAAGCTTCTCCAGCTTACAGAAACAGGGCAGGAAGGAGGAGATTTGATACTTACTTCTGGTTTGCTTCTACTCAGCCAAATTAGCCTTTTAAACCCCAAATTAACACTCTTCCGGGCTTCACTGACAGTACAAAGCTGACTTAGCAGGAGAGAGAGCCCTTCCAGGGCTGATGTTACCCAGTTCAGTCCCTTTGCTGCAAACAACCTTGTCTCTGTTCCATCTCTCAGTAGCAGCCTCCTCTGATGTGGATTTTCCATTCCTGGAGTGAGTTATTTCAAATTCAGCACAGGAAAGGCTCCCCCAGCCCTCCAAGCAAAGCCGGTCTCACCAACAGTTTAAGACCCATAAAACCGACTCATTCCCATGGAGCACATTTCCCTTCAAAGAGGTGCCTCTCTGTCTTACTTTAGGTTGAAACATCGATTAAAATTCTTATACTGGAAAGAAAACATCACCCTGTGAGGTGCTGGCTGGTCCCTGCCAACAGAAACACCCTCAGTGCACAGAGGAAACCAAGAAATGTGCAAGTCCTGCTCATTACCACAACATCACTTGAGCTGTTCCAGCTTTAGACACAGGCATGAGTATATAAAAAAATATATATACACGTCATAAAACTGGCAGTTATGTGCACGTTACACTCAAATTCCCCCAAAACAGACTACACCAACGCTACATTCAAATTCCACAGTCAGGGATGCACAAAGGAGCCTAAAAAGCACCAGTTAGTCAGACTGCAGCCTTGTAACATGTACAACCCACACAAGGACAAGGCAGCACCACAGAAATCACTCAGCTAATAATTAAAAACTTCATTTAAAACCGTGAAAACACAGTCAGGATTGAGATCAGTGAGTGCACCCCAGAGCTCAGTATCACCACACAGGCAGAAATCAATAGGTGCCATGAAGAGAGCACCGATAAAAATCTATAGCAACTGAAGCAGTCAACTTGAAACCTATTAACAGCTGCATTAGAAAGAAAGAATTACTTTTTCAATCTGCTAATGACTGCTTCTTTGCTTCCAGATGATCATTCTGTATGAATCCCGCAGAAATCCCTCTGGATCCCTTTTATGAATGAGCTACTCGGGATTTCAAGACCCTCTCCAGAGCAGCATCAGACAGGTATCTGCTTTTCAACAGCAGCACCAGCACGGCACTGACATCAAGATTAACAAAGATGACCCGGGAAGGGAGGGACAGCAGGGACACTTGAGGCACAGACTCCTTTGCCATCTGTGCCCCATGGCCACAAGCTACCAACTGGTATTTGATCCACTGAAGACCACTGATCAGTGGCTGTGCTCAGGCAGAGAAGGAGAATTCAGTGACAGTTTGTTTCTATCTTCTGCACATCACAATCCCAAAGTTTGGGGACCTGCACCTGAAGCAGAGTCTGTGACAGGGAACGGTCATCACACAGACACAGCTCGGTCTCTTTATCTCCTCCCAGTAAAAGTCACTGATCATTAACTGCAATAGCTGGCATTTCCCGAGTCTCTGGCATTTTGTAGTGCTCCAGCACATCCATACCAAGTGCGACCAAATCCCCTGGATTTCAGCCTTGGAGCATCTCTCACGGATCAAACAGAAACCAGACGATCCTGAGGACACTGAGCTACACCTGAACGTAGGCAACTCCCCCAGTATTTCTGTCTATTTGCTTATTTTTCTTTTGAAAAACACAGCCCGAGGTCTGCCTACAAGACATTGGAGCCACGAGAAGCGAAGCCCGGTGTTCCCACACGGCAAGAACCGGCAGCTCCCGGGACAGCGGCCACACGCCCGCCACCACCCACGAGGAAGAAACTCATCCAAACCCAACGATGGGCGACACATTTAGAATCGAACTTTAAGAGCAACAACAACAAAAAAAGCCCCAAATACTGCAGGCTCTGCCTTCCCGGCGCAGGGTGAGGGGTGCGAATCACGGAGGAAACGCCGCTTTCCCTCGGCGGCAGCCGCAGCTCCGCCCGCGCCGCGCCGGGAGCCGTGAGGGGACCGCGGCTGCCCCGGCCTCCCCCAGCGCCCCCCGCCCGGCACCGGCTCCCCGGGGGCGCCGCTTACCGCCGTGGAGCCGGAGGAGGAGGCGATGTAGACCTTGATGACCATGCTGGGAGCGGCGGGATGCGGAGCCGGGCGGGCGGTGGGTGTGTGCGGGCGGCTCGGGCGCGGGCTGGGGCTGAGGCGGGAGGGCGGGCGCAGGGAGGCGGCGGGAGCGCTCGCCCCGCCTCGCCCCGCGGCCGCCGCCGCCGCCCGAGCCCGGAAGGGCGGAAAATGTTTTTTCTTGTTTTTTTTTTCTTTTTTTTAATTAAATAAATAAATAAGGGGGGGGGGGGGAGAAAAAGAAAGAGAGGGGAGACGAGGCGCGTTCTCGACGAGCCGCGCGAGACGTGCGGGGGAGGAGGCGGGGGAGCCATGGCGGCGGAGCCGCGCTGAGGGGACGGGGGGGACCAGGCGGGGCGGCGAGGAGAACCGGAGCGAACTAGAGACAACCGGGGCGAACTAGAGACAACCGGGGCGGGAGAGAGGGAGCCAGCGGAGCGGGGCCGCCATGGCAGCGGCCGCTCCCCTCAGGTCCCCGTCCCCTCACGGCCGCTCCCCTCATGGTTGCCCCTCTCAGATCCTGGTCCCCTCATGGCTGCTCCCCTCACGATCCCCTCATGGCTGCTCCTCTCCCGGTCCCCTCACGGCCAGTTCCCCGGGACCGACCGACCCGTCCTGGGCTCCGCCGGTACCTCTCCCCCTCCACCCCGCTCCCCCGCCATGGCCGTGCCCGCGGTGTGAGGGCACAGGCGGCAAAAGGAGTCAGGAATGGGGAGATGTTTCTGGGAACTTATTATTTTGTATTAAGAATTTCCTTTAAAAATGTATTCCAGTGTGGAGAGAACTGCCCGAGTGATGTGCCGGCCCCTGTCAAAAGACACACGGCATCCAGTGAGTTCTTCGCATTCTCATCATTATTGTAAAGTATCATCCCCACAAAGCATCAAGCCCCCCACATTTTTAATAGTTATGGTCATGGTGATGCGTTATTTAGGGAAATTATTACCCAGCACCTATCTCCCATTTGCCTCTGGTATTCCAAGTATTACCTCATATATATTGTATTATATATTCTGATAACAGCTTCGCAGAAAATGGAAAATACTTAGGTTGATAAGCACAAGAAGCTGCAATTTTACCACCTACAAGCTAAGATGAAAGAAAGATATTTGTTCTGCTCTTGGCAAAAAATAAGGAGCTATTTCTGAAATGAGTTTTCCAAACAAGCACAAGCCTTCCTCTGTCAAATTATAAGGTGGTTTTCCTAACCAAAGAAATGATTTTTTAAAAAACCCCATCAAATTAAAAAGTACTGAATTGTCACCCATATTTGTTTTATTAATTTGCCAACAGTAAAAAGAAAAAACAGAAAAAGCACTATTTTGAGAATAACATGCCTAAATTTGATATTAATTTTGATACTTATATAGTCTTCGAGCCTGTAATGAGTTTTGTGTTTGAGAAAGGAATAAGCCAACATTTATTTAGGATGATGGTACACATTTATTTAGGATGATGGTACAGGAATTTCAAAATTTTATAAAATAAATAATGTAGTTTTTAATCACTTTAAAACAAACTGAGTTAAGTCGAGGAGATTAAAATTCTTCAAGGGATGTTTCTTCAGATGTGTTTGTGAACCCCTTCCCAGCTGTTTGAGAAACACACTGGGAATTCCTGTTGCCTCCAGTGTGTAACCTGATTCATGGCAAGGAATGAGGGAGGGAGAAACCACAGCTTATCAGAAAGACGGAAAAAATGCAGGTGGAGAACGGGAAAGGGAGGATCACTTGGACTTTGGGCTCCCCTGTCACACTGGCAGCTCTCCTTTCCTTGGAGAGTTGCAATCAGGAGGTGAGATTTACCTGGAGCGAGCTGCACCTCATCTTTCAGCCTCCTAAAAACCCTGGGACAATCCTTACTCTCAAACGTGCACTTTAGGAGGCATTTTGTCTTCATGAAATGAGAGTTATTAAGTTAAAAGCAATATACACATCAGGTATCATTGAAGCAACTTGGTTTTCTTGACTCATAAGAGTAAATTTTCTACTTTATTGGTGGAAAAGCACAATGTTTTCTATTCCCAGGCTACTCCTGTAAAATCTACGGTGTTGTTTTTGTTTTCACTGTTAAACACTTGTGAAGTTGTGAATTATCCTTCTCAAGGTAGAGCAAAACCTCAAACGAAATGAATAAATTTTAGGTGCTCCCCAAAGCAGAGCCCAAGGGATCGGCCACCCTGGAATCATCCAGGCATTTCAGGTAAAATCGTTGCCAGTAATGGCAAAGATCCACTCACTTTTCTTTAGAGCACAGGCAAGGATGGAGCCTTCCAAGTGCGGGCAAATTAAGCTGCTTTAGAAAAAGAAATGTGGGGGAAACTCACAGTGAAAGATATTCCAGTAATCAACTGCAAAATCCCACTTGTCCAAAAGGTCAGGAAGCACGTGCTCCACATGCCCCAGGGCTGCTTTGTAACCACGGAGAGAAATACACCCAGAATCCACCTGCAAGTAACCCGAGGCCGTGCCAGGGGCAGCTCTTGGATCCTGCCTGTGCCAGAGCAGATGATCTGGATCTGTATGACATGGAGAAGGTGTGATGGGTAAGGGACGTCAGCTCAGCACTCTCAGTAGGAAATAAGGAATCCATCCTTCATTCCCAATCCCAGCCCGGCAGTAATTGGAGCCAGAAGGCAAATCCTGACTCAGAGCGTGTCTCCTGGCTTTGCCATGCTCTGAGAGCTGTGTCCTGCTGCATCCAGGGGGTGGGAACTCTGCTCCCCTGCTCCAAAGGATTTTTGAACAGGGGTTGGGAAGCTTAAGAGATCTGCTGCTTCTCATCTGGAACCTGAGCAAGGCCGGGTTTCCTTGATTTATGTGTGACTGTGAAAGGCACAGGGCACTGGGTGGCACGAGGAAGTCACAGACAGGGCACACAGCAGGGACTCTGTGACTGCTGCTCCTTTCCTGTGCCATGGAACCACTGAGGGACGGTGCAGGGCAGAGGGCCCAGCTCAGCACCCCCGGACCTGCTGGTCCTGGCTCAGCTGCCCCAAACCCGGCTCAGCTGCCTCATACTGGGCTCAGCCCCCCCCCGTCCCCGTTCATCCCCCCCCGTCCCCGCCCCTCCCTCCCAGTCCCAGCTCAGCCCCCCAGTCCCAGCTCATCTCCCCCAGTCCCAGATCAGCCCCCCCAGTCCCAGATCAGCCCCCACAGTCCCAGCTCATCTCCCCCAGTCCCAGCTCATCTCCCCCAGTCCCAGCTCAGCCCCCCAGTCCCAGCTCATCTCCCCCAGTCCCAGCTCATCTCCCCCAGTCCCAGTTCATCTCCCCCAGTCCCAGTTCATCTCCCCCAGTCCCGGCTCCTCTCCCCCAGTCCCAGCTCCTCTCCCCCAGTCCCAGCTCATCTCCCCCCGGCCCCGCGTTGTTGCCGGAGGGCGCCCCCTGCTGGCTCTCGGCGGGACCGCGGGCAGGGCCCGGCCCGGGAGGAGGAGGAGGAGGAAAAGGGGGGGACAAGGAGCTTTCCTGGGGCTCTGAGACACCTTAGGGCACACGTTGCCCAGAGCAGCTGTGGTTGCCCCATCCCAGGAAGTGTCCAATGCCAGGTTGGACAGGGCTTGGAGCAACCTGGTCCCATGGAAGGTGTCCCTGTCCATGGCAGGAGGGGATTGAGATGAGCTTTAAGGTCCTTTCCAACCCAAACCTTCCTGGAACTCTATGAGATACCAGGATTTCAGCCCAAATAATAGGAATAGTCATTCTGTTAATGCTGTTTCAGGCCACTTACTTCAACTGGGCCTTCACTGCCCTGAAAGGCAGAAGGCACAATCCCAAAATCTGACAACACCCTCACCTGGTCTCTGGCTCCCTGTGACTCAAGACCTGGGCTGGACAGAACATAGTTTGTGCTCTGAACACTAAATCCAGCCTTCCCCGAGCCCATCCAGTGAGAAACCTGCAGTTCCTGCTAGCTGTGAGCTCAGAGCAAGCTGGAAGGAGGGAAGTGGAGCTGCAGAGCAGGATGTGCTGCCTGCCATGAAAGTATTGCAAGTTTTAACATACATGGAGATGGCTTGTGCATTCAGTTTTAGAGGCCTTGGGGTCTCCTAGGACCAAGTCAGTGTTGGTCAAAGGGTCTGCTCGTAGGCTTCTGTCCCCAGATTCTCTGGGAATCTTCAAATAGCTGTTGGAAAGACTTCCAGTCAAATAAATTTAAAATAATTGCTAAAGGCAGTGTGATCTGTAAAACTTTCCTGTGCTTTCTTAGTCACAATCGTCCCAGTTGCCAAGTCTCCTTGGGAATGGATTTGAGAAGCTGGGAGCACCAGCCATCCCCTGAGGCTGTGTGGGAGCAGTTCTGCCCCCCTGGGGGTCAGAGAGGACCATGTGGCAGTGCTCAGGTTGTTACAGTTTGCTGTGTCCATCGGTTCTAACCCAGCCCGGTGCTTCAGCATGGGACAGATCCTCAGGTGAGCTCCTCAGTTCCTGTCTGGGAACTTCCCAGCCTCCTCACTTAAACTCACTTGGTTTTTCTGCCCTGATTTTGTCTTTTCTGCATGTCCCTTACCCCTCCATAGCAGACTGGTTCTAGAGATCATCTCTCAGGCCTCCTGCTCCTGCCGAGACACAAAAATGACTTACTATGGTTTGAAATTGTTTGTAAGTCGTGTGTCAAGCTCTGCTTTTACCCAACTATTTTTATGTTTCATTTCATAGAATCACAGAGTGATTCGGGTGGGAAGGGACCTTAAAGCTCATCCAGTCCCACCCCCTGCCATGTGCAGGGACAGCTTCCACCAGCCCAGGTTGCTCCAAGCCCCATCCAGCCTGGCCTTGGACACTCCCAGGGACCCAGGGACAGCTACAGCTTCTCTGGGCAACCTGTACCAGTGGTGTTGTAAGCAGAAATAGACATTTCCACTTATTTTTTATGTTGAGAATTCATCAAACCAGTGAATAATCTCAATAATACAAGCCTGGTGTGTGCAGTCACCCCCTTCACTGTCAGGGACTGGGTAGAAAACTGGGGCTAAGTCAAAGGTTTGACTGAAGTGAGGATGAACAGACTCAATGAGAATCCTTAATTCCTCATCCTCATATTCCCAAATTAATAAGCTCTAAACGTTTTGTTGCAGTCAATACTGAATTTGACACATAAATCAATTTTTATCCAGGACAAACCACAAAATCACCCAGAACAAAGTATAAAATTAGCAAGCACAAACATCTCCTATAGGTCAATAATCCGCTCATCCCAAAAGTTATATAAAATAAGGCTGAAGGACACTTTGTACAGAACACAAAAATGTGGTTTGTGGTATTTTGTCCCAAAAATATGTATTAATGTAATTGTTATATGTGCCATGACTCTGAGCTCACACAGAATCCTAATTTCCCTTGCCTCTGAACTCTGATTGTGGGGCTGTTGCACATCGAGATGAAGCAGGTTGAGAGTGGAATCCATGGAAAAGGATCTCCTAATGTTCCTCCCTCCTATGGATTTTAGCCCAAAGGGATGGGAAAGCAACATATATCTAAGTGCCTGTTTAGGGAAGGTGAGAAGCCAGTCACCCAAGAGTGACTTTGATGTGGTTTACCTTTATTCAGGAAGGTCTTGATCTGCTTCAGCTCAAAAATGTGGTCCAGGAAAACATTCCTCAAGAACTACAGATCTCTGACATCAGGAACAGGCTCTCCTCCCCTGCAGGACATTCCTGCCTTGGACAACAGCAGAAATTTAAATTTTAGCACAAAATTTTCTCATGGAAACAGTGGAACAAACAAAAGATTAACTCTTGTTTTGTTGCTTTGATCTATCCCCAAGGTAGTCTGGTGAGGCAGTATCATAAATTCAGTTTTAGGTGGTTTTGTACTGAATAAAAAATGCCAGTTGTGGCAAAAGCACCAAAAAAGTAACATGGTATAAAATAATGCTCCAGAATAAACTTATTCTCCTGGCTTCAGCCAGGTCTGTAATTTCCTGCACAGTTGCAGCCATTTTCCCTTGCAGCACAACAGCATCTCACAGCAGCTTATCCCATTTCTTCAGAGGGAAACAATCTTCTCACTAATGGTTATTTAGGCCAGTCTGTGGTTTAATGATGACATTTTAAGAAAAAGTCAAAGTGTTTGAGATAATATAAAGATGAAAGAGAAGGCAGAGCAAACATAACGCAAAAATTAGCTGTGAATTTTCAATCTGTGCTTCACTTGCACGTTTTGATCCGAATTGTTGGTTGTGCAAGTTGTTCAGGAGAAGGTGTTGATAGACCCTCCAACAAATTACTGTTTCTCTGCCACAAAGACTTGTCACAGAACACAGAAAGGATAAAGCAATAACTGTGGGGAGAGGGGAGAAACTTCTCGGGGCCACTGGAGCACAAACCTTTTGGTGATGGAGAACTTGGAGACCAAGCGCTCTTGAAATGTGTTTCAGGCCGTTTATAGTTCAGAAGATGGAGAAAACTATTGGAAAGACTATTTAAAATCCTGATTACCACAGGAGAACTTGAAAGGGGAGCGATTGTGTTTGGTTATGTGGTTACACTGGGGCCGGCAGTGCCTGGAAAATGCAGTCCTCAGGATGCAGGAGGCCAGTCAGGGACATCCTTAAATAATTGGTGTGTTTTAACAAAATAATCATGGCATTTGATGGATCAACACTGACTGGAGGAAGGGGGAGGAAGGTGGATCCGTGGACGGAAAATTGCTGAGCTTAACTGCAAAGTGCAGGAAGATAATAAAGTATTGACATCCCGGCCCTTGGAGAGGGGGGTGACGTAAGGAGTGACAAATCAAAAAGTCACCATGAATTTGTCGAGAACGGGGGAACAGCTGTTCAGGGAGCAGCACTGAAAGGGATCCAGGGATTACAGGGGATCAGGAAGAGTCTGAACCAACGTGGTGATGCTGTTGCTGAGTCTGCAAATACCACGCTGAGAGCCGTTACCTAATTAACCTGATTATTGGACACAGACCTGAGCAAGAATGCAAAGTTGAGAGGAGTCTAGAGCAGCCCAGCAATGGCCAAAGGTTTACAAAATATGGCCTATGAGATCATGAGGCCTCTGAGAATTTGTTTAGTCTAGAAAAATAAAGTTTTAGGGAGAAAACGATAATATTATGTGAAATGACACAGTATCTAAAATGTTAGTGGAACTTGATGCTTGTTAATCGTTCTTTGTATCTGCTGGGCACTGCACAAAGAAACGGAAGTTCACAGCCAAAGCACAGTTTAGATGCTGGGGAGAACTTTGGGGTTTTTAAGGGCAGTTGGGTCCTGGAATAGGCTGCCTAGGAAGATTGTAGAATCCACTTTATTGTAGGTTTTAGAAAGGGTTGGACTGGCTTTGGGCAGGAACAGTCACACCTCCTGCTTCACCTCGCAGTGGCAAAGTGCTTTGGCCCTGGAAGTGGGATTAACACACCTTGTGCTTTCCCTATGGAAATACACAAGACACACGGTGGAAACGCTGTCAGCCGTTGCCGTTATGATGGAGACAAAGCTCATCTCCCTTAATCCGTGCCCGAGCCCGAGCCTTCACCTTCCGAGCCACCTCAGGCTCGCAGGCCCTGCTCCGGGGACACCCTCCCAGGCTTCAGCCCTGCACCACCCCAGCGGCCGGTGGGAGCCCGCGCTGCTCCAACAGCCGCGGGGGCGGTTACACCGCCGCTCCCCGCGCGGGGCCGGGCCGCACAAAGGCCGCAGCCCCCGCGCTCCGCGGCCGCGCAACGGCGCTTCCCGGCAGGTACGGCCGGGGCCGGGCGGCCGCGCTCCCGCAGGCCGCGAGTACCGGGGGCGGCCATGTTTGCGTCCCCGCGGCCTGCGGGAACTTTCGGGAGGAGATGGCGGGGGCGCTCGGTGGTCGCCG